ACTTTATATATAGTTCTCTTGATAAAGTTTCTATGCTCAAAATGCAAGCTTCTAAATACATCATGTAATACTTTCTGTTGAATGCCTTGGACAGAAACTGAAGTAGCAAAATGAGATGAGTAAGTTTATAGATGTGGACATTGTGGATGCATCTGGCATCATAGTTCTCTCCACCATTTGGGGTAGGAGTTCATCCACTTTTGTATTTTTTTGGAAAATCAATGTACAGTGTATTAAGTGTTTATAATAATATATATATAAATTATTATATATATATTGTTGGAGCATTCAATTTCTTGGCCTCAATCATGACAGCAAATTATTTTTCTTTTACGGTTGCCACTTGCCACTTTACAAAGCTCATAGATCACAAGCTTATGCTACAACATTTGACACCAGACTATCGCAAGACAATCTGTAAATAGTTCCCTAGCCTTAACACAATAGAAGAGATAACCATTAAGTTGGTTCAAATTAAACCTGCTGGCTAGCAGCTTTGAATGAGATAGTTTCAGCTTTCAAGGCTGCCAAAACACAATCATTCTTACAGAAGTAATAAGAAACATTTTGCAGTTCACCACCTAGCTTTTGTGCACCTGCCTGAGATAGCCCTTTTGATATTATTTTCCTATGAAAATTTGGAGCCTGAGCTTGTAGTAAGCATTGATCAATATATATATTGTAGATAACAAAATTATGTCTACGCCTCTTACTCGTCGTAGAAACAAACAAACTCATTAGCATCATCTATTTTACCCACGTACCAAGAAATTAACAACCACATCAATCAACATGGTTACTAGTAATCTTTTTTGCTCCTTAGCTCTTTGAATCACCAGAGACTATGCCACACGTCTTGATCCATCATGTCAATAAAAACAAACTTTTGACCTTCTCACTAGAGATTAAACCACACACCCTCAGTCCATCACGCAAATAATATCACATTTTGTTTGGAATCAAACTAAGTAGGTTAAGTTCATTGTTTTAAAAGTCTTAGAGGCATAAATATTATTGTGTTTGGTTTTTTAAATTAGTATTAGAATATATGAATTTATTAGAATTAGCGTTAAACTTCTATATAAAGCAACACATATTTCATGTGAGAAAAAACTAACGTGAAACATATTACGCATAGTTATTTTCATCATTACAACAAAAAGGGCTTTTAGCTATGATTTTGTTAGCAACAATTTCAAAATTCGTCGTCAAAGGTAACTATTAGTAACGAAACATGAAATTGGTTGTCAATAGTTTCACAGACTTTCTAATCCTCGCACGAGATGGCGGGAAGCAAATTGGCGACGACATAATTCATCATACAATGTTTTTGCCGACGAAAATAAAAAAAGCAACGCCCAAGTTGTTTTGCAATGTAACTATATGTCGTCGTGAATACTTTTAAGAGACGAAAATAATACAAAACGTAGCCAAAAATATTTAGCAACGCAAATGCATGGTGCCATAAAATGTTTTTGGCGACGAAAATATAAAAAAACGACGCAAAATCCATCTGACTACACAACAAATTATGCGTCAGTAAACATTTTTGGCGACGAAAATATAAACAATGACGCAAAATCTATCTAGCTATGCAACAAATTGTGCGTCAGGAAACGTTTTTGGCGACAAAAATATAAAAAATGACGCAAAATCCATCTGGCTATGCAACAAATTGTTTGTCGGGAAACGTTTTTGGTGCAAAAATATAAAAAACGACGCAAAATCTATCTAGCTAAGCAACAAATTGTTTGTTGAGAAATGTTTTTAGCGACGCAAACAAAAAAAAAAGGCCAAAAACGTATTGCGATGCAATCTATGTTTTCTCGTGAAAACGTTTTGGTGTCAATTTTCTTAAAATCGTTGCCATTAGTTTGTTAGAATTTAATTTTTAATATAATTTTATATTTATATAACAATAACTGAAAGTATAAAACTAATCAGTAATTAATAAAAGAAATCAAAATTATTATTATTATTTATTTTGTAAATACGAAAAGCACCATGGGGTAAATTGTTTTTCAGGTTTCCACTGTTGGTAGCTTAAGTATGGTACTTGTTTGTTGCTATTTAGAATCATTATTATTTATTATTGTTATTATTATTAGGTTATTGATAGTACTATTTTTTTTTTATTATAATAATTTTATAATATTATTTAATATTTATATTTAAATATTAAATTTAGTACATTAAATTAATAATATTTATTAATATTAAAGCAAACAAATTAAAATTAATGCACAAAGAAAAATCACATCACAATTATACAAATTAAATTTGGATGACAATAATAAATATTATTAATTCTCAATATCATCTTCAACTTGTACATCTTCACTTCCAGTGGTACAATTTTCATCACTTATCTCATTTTCATTATCATCATTTATGAAACCGATATCATCATCACTAACTCTACTACTTCGCTCCACAAATTGAATAACCTCTGGTTCCACATCCACCCTATGAAGTTCTTCTTGTTCATTAACTTTTGCATCAATATGAAAACTAAATTCATCTGAATTATTGGCTTGATATGCATCATGCGTTGTTGATTGTTCTTCCTCAATTTTATTGGGAATGTCGTACAAATGCCTATGTTGCACCTTCTGTATAACTTTCCAATTGACCCCTAACTTAGGATCATCAATGTAGAAAACTTGTTTAGCTTGATATGCTAACACATAAGGATCATTGGCATACCATTTGTGACTCACATTGATGCTTGTAAAGTGAAAATCCCTTTGCACCCATTTCTTTTTAGGGTCAGTGTCAAACCAAGTGCATTTAAACAAAATCACACTTATGTTATAAATATAATTCACTTCAACAACTGAATCAAGAATTCCATAAAATTCCATCCTCTCATCACCACCACCACCATTATCATCATCTTCAAGTTCCTCATACACTAAAACACCACTATTTTGGGTTGCGAGTCGATCTTTCACAATAAATCGTACTCTATCAACAATACAAGCAGTATATTTAGACACTCGTCTATCAGACTTACATGCTAATGAGTACAAATCATCAGTAGCCTCAATTGCTTCTTGAGAACGTAACACTTTCATCTATTAAAAAAAAGGATTAAAATATATGATCAATATAAAAGTTGAAAACCATAAAAAAATACAAAATAATAAGACTCCAAAATATTCGACGACTTACCTGATGTTCAAGCCAGTCAGGAGACATTTTTGTTTGCTTTTCAATATTTCAACCTCTAAAATATTAGTGCCTTCACTTTCTTTTTCTAATTCAAGCATGTTCTCACTAAACATTTTTTCATAAGATACAACAAAAGATTAAACAAAGTTAAAACATATCATATAAAATGACAAAATAAAAACCTCATTAAAACAAAAAATTCACAAGGTTAGCAAAATATCACTTACTCTAAATAATCACGTAATTCCACACAATTATTAAGAACGTACCAATGTATTTTATCAATTTCTGCTTGTGGTAACTGCATTAGTTGCCTCCCACCATATGGACTAACTCTATGCTTGAAAATAGATGCATCACTAACTTTGTCATTGTCATCAAAATTACACCCTGGTCAGTTGAATTTAGTCTCAATATCTTGAAGATACATAGAACAGAATGTCAGTGACTCATTAACAATGTATGCCTCGGCAATAGAGCCTTCGGGTCTTGCTTTATTCTTTACATAAGATTTATAAGTTCCTAAAGCCCTTTCAATTGGATACATCTATCGAAATCCAACTGGTCCTGCAAGTCTTGCCTCACGTGGTAAATGAACAGCTACATGAACCATGATACCAAAAAAGGCTGGTGGAAAAATCATAAAAATCATTTCTAATTTACAAAGTATTAACACGATTTGTTCCTCCAACATGTGCAACACATCCTTTGTAACTGACTTTGCACAATTTGTTGAAAAAAACAAGATAACTCCACCAATGCAATATAAATGTTACATGGCAAAAATTTTCGAATGCCAATGGGAAGAATTCATTGAAGTAAAACATGATAATTGTGACTTTTAAGTGATCCAAGTTTATCATCTTTAATTAACACTTACATTTTTTGATATATAAGCTACATAACCATCAGGAAATTTAATCGTCTTGAGAAACTTACAAAAGACTTTTCTTTCTTGCAGTGTCAAAGTGTATGTTGCACGTGGTTTAGTGTATTTATCATCAATCTTCACCAAATGCAATTCCTTCCTCATGTTCGTATCTTGCAAATCCATTCGAGCTTTATCAGTATCCTTCAGTTTTCCTTCAATGCACAAAATTGTCCCAACAACATTATCACAAATATTTTTCTCCACATGCATGACATCTATATTATGTCGTACTTTTAAAGATGACCACTATTCCAATTCGAAGAAAATATTTTTTTTGGTCCAATTCAATTCTACTGGTGTACGTTTTCGCTTTCTATCTTGACTACTTGGGTTCTTTCCCAATTTCACCATCTCAACACTTCTTAATTGATTCAAAATATCGACCCCTGATAACTCCCTCGGTGTAGCTCGAGTTTCTAGTTTATTATTGTGTAGTCGACTCCGTCTCCATGCATGCCCAGGATGTAAGAATCGTCGATGATCTGTATAACATATCTTACTTCTCAACCACGTAGATGAAGTCTCCTTGTTACATACTGGACATTTCATATAACCTTTAGTGCTCAAACCCGATAAATTTCCATATGCTGGAAAGTCGTTAATTGTCCATAAGAGAGCAGCATGCATTTGAAAACTCTTGCCAATTGAAAAATCAAATGTCAACACACCAACCAACCATAACTCTTTGAGTTCTTCAATTAATGGATGTAAAAACATATCAATTTCTCTACTAGGTGATTGTGGCCTTGGTATAAGAAGAGATATCATCAAGTATGACTCTTTCATACATTTCCATGGTGGTAGATTATAAGGTACAAGAATAACTGGCCACATGCTATATATACGAATTAGACATATTACCAAAATGATTAAAACCATCTGAAGCAAGTCCCAATCAAACATTTCGTGCATCACTAGAAAATGATGGATATAACCTATCAAACTCTTTCCATTCCTCCCCATTAGCTGGATGTCGAAGCACACCATCATTAACTTGCTTCTCATTATGCCACCGCATATCAACCGATGTATGCCTCGACATAAATAATCTCTGCAATCTCGGCTTCAAAGGAAAGTATCTAAGAACTTTATGTGGTATCTTTTGCCCATTGTCATTATTCAACTTATAATGAGATTCATCACATACAGGAAAATTTTCCAATTTCTCATTTTCTTTCCAAAACAATGCACAATCATATTTGCACGCACGAATCTTTTCACAACCAAGTCCCAGGTTCTGTAACATTTTTTTAACACCATAGGTGTTTTTTTTTGCAAACTTAAACCTTTTGGTATCACCTCATTCAACAGTGTAAGCAACATATCAAGTGACTTGTTGCTCCAAAGGCTGAGAACCTTCAAATGCATTAGCCTAACCACAAAAGTTAAAGTAGATAATTTACAACCTGGATACAACTTCTTCCCTGCCTCACTATATAAATGATCAAAAGGTTCATGCTCATTGTTACTATTTTCCTCATCAATTGCATCTGCTTCTACATTAATGTTATCTTGGTTGAAACTAGTGGAGGTAGCAGGGCGACAAACATCATTTAACACATTTAACATATCATCATTAATGTCTACACCATTAGAAGTTGGTTGGTCCATGTCAGTAGAATGCATTGGATCGGTTGGCTCTCTTACAGCGTCAAATAGACTATCTCCATGAAAAATCCAATTTTCATATGTCCTCGAAAATCCATTCATAAAAAGATGTTTCTTAACAACACTAATTGACTCAAAAAAGGCATTAAGACACTTACGACATGGACAACGTGTGTTCTCATCACTATCAACATGATTTCGAGCAATTTCAATAAATGAGCGCACACCGTTGGCATATTTAGTTGACAACCTATTAGGATGATGAATCCAACTCTTATCCATCTACATCATACAATTAGAAAGATTATGAACTATCCACCATACATAGAGACAAACTTGATCAACTTGATTAGAAAATATAAGACACGAAATAGAATAAACATTCGCACATTGGGAGAGAAGACTGAAATAATATTTGGGGAATTTAAAGAACAATAAAGACATCTACTAATAGTGATTAAATTAATTAATGTTTAATTCCTACTGGAGGAAATTTATTAAGTTATTATATAATCCACCATTGAAAAATACAAGACATAAACAAAAGCTAGCCTATTTTGTATGATAAGACTTTTGTTTATTTTGTGTAATACCAGCATTTATAATGTACTGCAAGAATGTTTTTGTTTGGTGACTTTTCCAAAGGGAGATTCACACTAGTCTACTTGTCATTTTGCCCCAATTCATTTTACATTAAATAAACAAAAGTTAGAAATTTGGACCGAAATTTTCCAATTTGATTCTTAGTCTATTGGCAATAATCAAGGCAAATGAGAATAAGTGATGTACTTCTGCATATACAGATTGGTAGTTCATCTAACAATCCCATGTTTGGTTTGTCGCCAGATTTAGCAACAAAATTTAACAAATTGTCACCTAAAATCAAGCGCGACATGCCTACCACGATGATCGTGGCGACAATTTTCTTCCGTTGCTAAACATATACTACAACAATTTCTAGGTTTTTAGCAACAAAAAAATTCGTAGCTTAAAGCCTTTTTGTTGTAGTACGTCCTTCCTACTGTGTTTGCTTGTGTTGATATCACATGATGTTTAATTTTTTTTTTATTTTAAAACAAGTGAAACATGTAGGCAGGAAGCATCATTTGGCAAATAGGTAGGTTTCATGAGTTGCTTAGACGATAAATTTGTAAAATAAGTAGGTTTTAAGAGCCATTTAGATGATAAATATCACAGAGTCAAATTTTGGGATATGTTTATAAGTATTTAAAAGGTTAGAGGAGTTTAATTTGTTGACTAATTCAAGCATAACCCAGTTGTATCTCCACGTGTTTGTCAGCATGTTGAATATTTTTGTAAAACTTATGTTGTCTATGTACACAATTGTTGTGTGTGTGCACATTGAAGTCAGACATATCTATGTTGCATTTCATTTTGCATTTTACTTCGTGTGTGCGCACACTTTCTTTATGTACTAACATCGCATGTTTGATCATTTTGCACAAGTTACGTTTTTATCTTTATCAACTAAGATATTTTATGTCCATTTGTTGTGCTGTCATGAGGACCACCTATAGGTATCCCAATATCCTCTTGTGGTCCAGGGAAATCACCTTTTTCCCATTTTGGTTGTGGTCCCAAAAGATAGATGAAATATTTTCTATTTTGGACCAACACATGTTAACCCTTGTTTGCTAACCTGACATAAATTGTTGAGCACCAAATTTGTCTATATCATCTTCATTGCTACTCATTTGTAAAGCGAACCTTCGACATCATATTTTCTTGTGCTTTAAACTTTTTAGAGAGTATTTTTCCTTAAAGTTCTTACTATGTTTTTGTGCCAAGCACTCACCATCTTTTATCCTTGTTGAATGGCGGCTAGAACTTGGTTCCATGGTTGATGTTGGAGAGTGGCTTCGATGTGTGAAGCTTGGGTGGAGCTCAAGTGTTCTTCGAGTGTGTTCTCGGCATGAAGAGATCCTAGAAGCGATAAGACATTAGAGATTCAAAAGGTGGTGTTTAGTGTAACTAGAACAGGGAGTTCTTTTTGCTATAGCTAAAATCAACTTTGAACTATATCTTGTAATGTTTGTTGTTTAGTGGATTTGTTTCGATCTGGATGAGTTCCCATGGATGTAGGCTAAGAGTGGTTTTAGTCAGACCATGTATATGCTGGTGTGCTTTATGTTTATTGCCTATGGATGTTGATTTATGATTAAACTTGATAGTTTGCATAGATTTCATGGATCCGAACAAAGCATGCCCTAAAGATTCCTTCCCACTCTCTCACATTGACATGCTGGTTGATGCTGCAATAAGTCATGAGTTACTTAACTTCATAGACGCCTTCTCGAGCTACAATCAGATCCTCATGAATCCGGGTGACCAAGAGAAGACAACTTTCCTCACAAAGAATGGCACTTATTACTACAAAGTGATGTCATTCAACCTCAAGAATGCTAGGGCTACCTACTAACAACTTATAAATAAAATGTTCGTAGAACACTTGGGGGACATAATGAAAGTATACATTGACGACATGCTCATCAAGTCCCTCATAGCCGAGCAGCACCTGGATTACCTCAGTCAAGCCTTCGCAATACTCAAGAAGTATAACATGAAGCTTAACCTAGCCAAGTGCTCATTTGGGGTCTCCTCTGGTAAGTTTTTGAGATATATGGTAACTCAGTGCAGGATAGAGGCTAACCCAGATCATATCCGAGCCGTCTTTCACCCACATGCATCAAGGACATCCAACATCTCTCTGAAAGAGTGGTAGCCCTAAGTCGATTCATCTCTCGATCAGCCAATAAGTAGGACTGGCTCAACTCGGTTAAATTCGAGTCAACTCGACTCGAACTTGGTTTGTTAACCGAGTCGAGTTCAAATACAGTGAAGCTCGGCTCGTGGGCTCGTGAGCCTGGTCCTGCTCGCGTAAACACTGTACACTTACGTAGGGTGCTTTGGTTATTTTTTAAACCATTAGGTATTAAACTGATATTTTTTAGTGAAAAAAGTTTAAAAAAATGACAGTTCCCCCCCCCCCCCTCCCCAAATTCTTATAACACGATACACCAAAATACCAAATCAATTTCAATTCCCACTTGCCCTAAATCCCAAATCACAAACAAAGACCCCCAAATCACGAACCAGACATGATTCCTCGCTGTGAAATCGGTAATCTCCGATCTCGGCAATCGGAAAAGGAGGCCCGAAATCACAGACACTCTGAAACTTCTAGGTTAGTTTGCTGTGCCTATGTGTGATAGTTAGTTGTTTGTTTGTGACAAATAATTATCTTAAAAAAGCAAGCATGAGATGAGTAGATCATCTAACTGTTAGAGTTGGAATTGGGTGCATTTTTTAGAAAGAGACCACCTTCCTTTTTCCGTTTAAGAGAGCAGTCTTAAAATGAGCCAAAAGAAATAAGTACATAGGAAACTGAAAAGGCCTTCATTTTTATAAATACCCACATAAATGATGACACACTTCATTGTCACTGCTTGTCGATAATGGGAAGAGTGTTCTGTAGATTGTTTTAGCTGAGTTGAAGCTTTGGATTCGGCTCATGTTTGATTTGGGTTTTGTTTTGCCATTTGAGTGTTTTGTAGATTTTTTTAGCTGAGTTGAAAACAGAGTTGAAGCTTTGGATTCGGCTCATGTTTGATTTGGAGTAGGAAAAAAGTTGGAGTTAGTGGATCCACTAATGCAATTGAAAAGTAACAAGAGTCCAATAATCTAAAGTAATACACCCAAAAAAAGTGGTCTCCTTGCCCCTTCTTTGTCATATTTTACATTAATATCCTCTTATGCTTGCTAACATTTTCAAGAAATTCATAATAACCCATCTGAATTCTATTTGTGGTTGTAAATTAATCCATTAACATACCCTTTACTGTGAGAAATCAAAATTGGTGGACAAAATAATAGGTTTTTTTTTGCTGTGTGTGGAGTGTGGCTTGTTGGTTTTTTTTGGAAAGGTCTGCTGGTTATAAAGCCATTGCCTAAAAGATAAATTGCTAAGTTCCATACACATTATTTCTGAAGTCAGTCCCAAAAAATAAAAAATACAAACTCATTAATATATCATAAGCGCCCCCCCACAAAAAAGTGTGTAATGAATACATGAACTACAACATAAAATGCGTCCATGGCATAATCTGAACAGAATAAACCATAACTGAAATATTCATATAAGCACTAATTTAAAACTGTAATGATCATTGATTTCTGGCAATAAAAGAAAAAGCAAAAATAAATAATCATAGAGATAGGTAAGTCAGATGCATCTAACAACTAAGACAATTTAAAAGAATATGGAACTATATCTTATGCAGTAAATTGTAAAGTCTTTTGCTTAGTAGGCAAGTTCAACTTCAATACATAGGCAGCCACATTATTACCGAAGTAGTAATTCAAACAACAGGGTAAATAATTTTACAAATGGTATGTCATCAATCATCATTTCCATGGACAACATTGCAATTTGATAGATAATACAGTTAATGGCTTTTTTTACTTTTGTTACTATTCTTTTATGATTATGTAGGTTCCAAAGGGTTTCAACTTTGGTAGAATAAAAAGTTGACACTAAGAACCAGCAGAAGCAGCTGAATAGACAACCTACACACCCTCATCACTTTAAGGATTATAAAATAATATATTATATTATTTCATTTTCTTCATCAATTATATATTATTTTAACTTTATGATATTGTCTAACGATAGTGGTTAATTCATTTTTTAATTGTAGGTATGGCATCGGGAGACAGTTCCTCAAGCACCCCTACATTGGATGACATCGACGATTAAGTTACGGTAAGAGCAGTCAATCGGTGTAACATTTATGGAAGCACGGGTGATATCGAGCAAAGTGTGAGTAGCCCCGAAAATGTTGAGGACAATGAAAGTCCACTAGAGAGGAAGAAGAGAGCGAAAACATCAGTTGTATGGTTAGAATTTACAGAGGTGGTTCTCCCTAGTGGTATAAGGAAAGGAGAGTGCATTCATTGTAAAACAAAGTTGAAAATGACTGTCAGTGGAAGCACAACACAATTCAATAGACATTTGAAAAGTTGTGCGAAGAGAACAGCTCACTTGAGGCAACAACAAATAAATTTCCCCCCTTCCAGTTCTCAGGGTGGCTTTAATGTCCTGCCTGCTCTACGGGGCCAATTTAGTATGCTGAAGATGAGGGAGTTTATTACACATTGGTTGCTGATGCATGAGCATCCATTTTCTATTATAGAGGAAGAGGGGTTGAACAACATGATGAAGTACAGGATTCCAAAATGGACTCCGATATCCCATAATACTT